TTTTTTTTTTTCTTTTGGACCCAAGGAACAATCCATTTTCTGCTGTTGTAGGTCTTTTCTGGAGCTGGCTTGAAGAAAAGAGTACATCTCTTACTCTGCTGTTTGTCCAAGAGTGATACATTTATTTGGGGTAAACATAAAAGTTAATTTATTGCCATTTAAATTTCTAACGATGGAAGACCAGGGAGCCAAACCCCCTCACCATTACTAGTTCCTCAATAACCAATTTTCATATCTTCAGTATGAGGTACATAAAAATTTTTAGGTATGATAACCAAGAAAGGCTGTATCTACATTTTCCAGAGAGAAGAAACCAATTGGCTGGGACACTGATATTTCCTGGCTTACTGGAGAGGAATTGCATGTAGAAGTGTTGGAAAATGTCCCACTAACAACACACAACTTCGTATGTACCTTTACAGTTTTTTGAAATGTCAAAAATGTTCAAGCTCTTGTGAATGCATTTTTATTTGGGACTATGAGATATGGAAGACTAATTTTGGGATTGATATTTTACCTAAGTTGAAATCCAGTTCTGTTCTTTAAAACACTTGTATTTAAACTAAAAGAGTTTTATTTTCATCATTATACTTTCTTTTTAATTAAAAAAGCATGAACTGTCCTTTATTAAAAGAAAAAATTTAGTGATACAAAAGTATATCAAGTAAAAAAGTGACATATCCTACTAGAGGTAAACATTTGCTAAGAGTACTGTATAGTCTTCCAAACACTTCCCACATATTCAAATGTGTGCTTATACCTGTTAGCCCAGTTTTCTCCTTTCTCTTTTTTCTCCCTTTCCTTCATTATTGTCCATTTTTTTCCTTTTCTTAAACTAAAAATGGAGTCCTGTTCTATATTTTTCACCTAAAAAAAAAATCAAACAATGCATTGTAGACATCTTTCCATATCAGTACACATAACTTTATTTTTGTTATATTTGCATAATAGTCCATAAGAATATAAATCCAGTATATTTAACTTCCCTCTGTTAATAGACATTTAAGGTTGTTGGGTTTTTTAAATGTTTACATATAGGGCTAAACAGACTGTATACATATTGACACACTTGTGTAAATGTTTCTGAAGGTTAGGTTAATGTGAGCGGAATAGCTCTCTTTGAGGAGTAAAGGAAGACATTAAAACTCTCCTTAAGGACTTCTCCTTCATCTGGCTTTTCCATTTGCTAGAACCTAGCCTAAGCTAAATGTCACCAGCATGAGGCCTGGAATGTGGGACCTTTCTACCTTAGAGATAAGGTTACAGTTCCCAGAGCATGAGAACCTATCCTTTGAAAGGATAGGCAGAATCCAGGTCTAGTGATCTATAAGGTAGGAGACATTTCTTACTTTTCTATATGTGTGGAATTTTGATCCTTTTTCTTAATGGATAATTTTTGCTACTCTTTTGGCTTCAAGTGTTTTCCCATGTGCCTTGGTGATTGGTATAGCCAGGCTCCTAAAGCAGATGATTTATGAGGTGGTTTCCTTGAGCGTTTGTGCTTCAATAAATAAGGTATTTTTTGGACAAGTGTAAGATTTACTGTGTAGCAAGTAGTTTTATAATGATGAGCTAGGAAGTTCATTACTATTAATTTTTTAACTGACAGAATTTTGAGTTGATAAATCTTAAGATCTCTAAATTTTTTGGAATCCAAAACGGTTGAGCTTACAATTTCATTGTGATTACTACTATTTTTCTTAATTATTCTTCTTAGTTAGAAATTGGGTATGAGGAGGTAAATAAGACCTCTAAGTTGCTAACCATAAAATAGTGTTAAAAATAGTGCCTCAGAAAGCTCCTTGCCCCAGGAGGATAATGAAAGCACACTGCAGGTTAGTTCCAGAGCATGAAAACTTTCACAGCTCAGTTGGAGACCTGCCAGCAAATATTTATTGAGAACTTTACATTTGCCAATATTGTACTGAACTCGGTATATATAACAATGAGTAAGAAAAACAGTATCCCTGGCTTTGTGTAGACAGATGATTTAGTAAGAAATTTTGTGAACACTCTTTAATTTCTGTGTATGTATAAAGTGCTGTAGATGCACAGAGCAGACTCCTAACCTGGTCTTTAGGGAATCTGGAAAGTTTCCCAAAGGAGGAAATATCTAAGCTAAGACCTGATGAATGAGGGAGAAGCAGGTGAGTGAAGGTCAGAGTACTCTAGACAGAGGAAAAGGCGAGAAAACTGTTCAGTTTTGAAAAGTTCAGAATGAAGGATGCAAAGTTGGAGAATAGGGTGTTACTGTGTCATAAGAATTATGGGTAGTAAGCAGAGTCCAGGTCCTGAGAGTCCTTGTAAGTGATGTTAAAGATTTGGACTTTCCTCTAAAATAATTGGAAAGTCAATGACTGTAAGGATAGATGTGATTAAATTTGTGTAGAGCAGTTGTTCTGAGTGTCATATAGAGGCAAGAGGAAAAGCCTGTATTCTGCTTAGAAAGGGAAATAATTCCTCTGTTTGCTTCTCTGTGCTAGATTTTACTGGCTACTCAAGGAATGCTGCATTGCCGCCTTATTTCCTAGCAGTTCTGTATTTGTCTACATCCCAGGAGTCCTTGGGAACTGGCAGGGTGGAAGAGAGCGGGAAAGGCAAAGAAACAAGATTTGAAACAGATGCTGCGTGTCCAGCCCTTCCCATTTCATATAGGCACTAAGGCTAACATCTTCAGACAGCCCCACACCATACAAATTATTGCATGCAAATTGCCTAGTCTCTGCCTCCCTAATTGCCTACTTTACTGTCCATGTTTTATATGCTCAAATTCCAGAATAAACGTAAGTTGTGACCCAAAAGAAAAGACTTACCTCCTGTGCCCATCTTTATTGACAAGGTATACTTATAGATACAAGTATAACAATTTATACTCAAGTGCATTCCCACATTTTCTCCTTGGATGTTTTCCATTTCATTTGTGCTTCCCTCCCCTCGCCTTCCTTGCCTCTTCTTATTTTTCCTCTTTTACATATACATCATTTTCAAATACAAGTCAGTGGCAGGAGGAAAGACAGCAGTTGAGTAGATAAATGAAAGAAGAGAAGCTAGGGCTTCATGAAAGTCAACAGATGATCAGACTAGTGAGGATATGAGTGATTAGCAAAAAGCATCAGATGACTATAAAATGCTGATTCTTGGGAATACATTTTATATTTTTCTGTGCCCCATTTTCTGGGATTCTGATAGCAACATAAAAACTTACTTTGACAAATAGTGGCCACATAAATATTAAAGATCTTTAATTTCTTGTATATCCAGAGACAGATGAAAAGGAACAATCTAAAAACAAGCAGTTGCCTCTTTACATCCCCTAGAAAGTGATACATAGACAAAAAGGTGAAGAAAACAAGAGCCACTCTTAAAATTACCAGAATGTTCTGAAAAAAGCCAGAACAAATAAGGTGCCAATGTACCATTTTCTCAATGAACTATTTTTTAATAACATACCATTAAATACATGTTTATTGAAAAGAGTTTGGTAAACTGGATGTTGAAATCAATTTACTGGATCATGAAAAGCATTTACATGTAATAGAGTGTATTAGAAAATTCTGTTGTACATTATATATGGTCAGGGTAAGTATTATTGTATGAATGCAGGTATGTCCTGGGTCATAATGTGAAATATATTTCTTACTATTATTTGTGACTCAAACTGTCTTAAAACTGAGATGAATTGAAAATATATAGCAAAGAACAAAGGACAAAATAGAGTCATCCATGCTTTCACTATTCTGAAATACCTGTTGTTAAAACATTCTGGTATTTGTTTATCCTTCTTCTGTTTTCTGTTTGTCATATACAAAAAACAAATACTTAAAAATATTTCTGGCCTCAGTAGGGATAACTACTTACACAATTTATGTGACTATGTTATAGATCATTTACGTCTGACATGGAGTCTTCTTACGTGCTGCCCTTTAAGTTTCACCTAGAGGAATGTCCCCAGATACATTTAGGAGTTTGAATCCTCTAACAAACTGATAATTTGTTAAAAGTAGTTCTTACCATCTTTTAGGGTATTTTCCTTCTTGTTCCTTCTCCTGGTTAGTAAGCTAGGGTGATATTGTTCTGATTTTCATAGAATAACAAACTAGTTAGCTTTTTCTTTTATAAATAATCATTTTTACCTTTTAGTCAAAGTGTATTTACAGTTTAATCAAATGTATATAGTTTTTTACACAGTACAGAGGGGCTTATAATGAAAAACAATCTGTTGCCCATTCTTTGCTAACTTATCATGCCCCTTTTCAGAGGAAATCACTCTTAACTTTTAATGGTTTCTGTTTTAAGCTTTTTTGGTGATTATTTTCATATTACTAAAAAATAACTAGCCACAATGCCTTGTTTATCAACTTTAAACATCATTTATTGATTACTGATTCCATAGGAAATTAGCTCATCTGTAGCATTATAACCTCTCCTCCTCCATCCTATCTTCCAAGGTGTGTTGTTTTTTGGGTACCTTTGTAACTTTAAATAAATATATAAGTATACCGTTGTTTCTTGTCCTGTCAGCACCCAAAAGCATCTCTTAACTCCTTTCTTTGTACAATTATTAAAGTGTGCCCTTATCCTTCCCTTCACCTGTATTCCTGCCTTCTACTTGTCATCTCTATTTTTACTTTTATGTAGTCAAGCTTGAAATTAGTTTCCAGTCTTTATTCTTTTTCCATCTTTTTGACTTCTGAGGTTTTTAATTGGATATTGGGTAGGAGATAAGTATATATAGTCTATCTATTGTCTTGAGCGCATTGGTTTTCATTTTAGTGTCTTAGTGTGTAAGAAAGTTCTCATGATATAAACATGTTAAAGATTCATTCTTTTAAAAAAGAGTAAATAAGTTGATTCTTAAAAGAGTCTTGCAAGTTTTTGAAATTTTCTATGATGTTTTACTTTGCAGGTACGGAAAACTTTTTTCACCTTAGCATTTTGTGACTTTTGTCGAAAGCTGCTTTTCCAGGGTTTCCGCTGTCAAACATGTGGTTATAAATTTCACCAGCGTTGTAGTACAGAGGTTCCACTGATGTGTGTTAATTATGACCAACTTGAGTAAGTAATCAAAAAAGTCTCTTTCCTATCTACCATTTTACATTTAACTTTCCTGAATGTGAAACTAGTATGTCTTAGAGTATGTGGGAATTTTCTGTCACGGTTGTTAATAAGGAATTTTTAAAACTGTGGTTAGAGACTAATACATAGTATAGACAGTTCTTCTAAACTGTAATTCTGATTCACTTGTGCCTTTCATTGGTTTTATATTCTCTTATAAAGATCTTTCAGTATAGAAATCACATTTTAGATAGTTTTGGGGAAGAGAGCAGGTATTATTTCAATTAAGACAACTATTACATTTTTGGACCACAGTTCATGGGGTCTGATCCTGTCAGCTATCTGTAAATTGTGTTCTCTTTCTCTCTTCCTCACTTTCTCTTTCTCCTTCAAATTCTGCTCCCCCTGCCCCATCCAGTTTATTTAAAAGTAAAATATAAAATCTTGTTACCCATTATATCTCTTTCTAAAATTTGTTTGTTTTATGCCAGATTCTCCAATAGATGAGACTGAGTATTTTAATGTTTTCTCTAGTAGTTGCTGCTGCTGAGATCTTAACTACTTCTCTTGATCACTTGAGCAGAGCATTCACCTCTATGCCTTAAAGTGTTACTATAATGATGTAATAATCTAATTTAGCAATAGATGAATTTTCTTCTAATTCTTTAACCATAAAGCATGTTTTTCCCCCATTTTACTATGTACTAATTTTCTGTGTAGAACAATTAATTTCAGATTCTAGCTTACCTTTGAAAGTATAATATAATTTTGAAAAATAAGCCTTTAGGCAAAAATACAAGGAATTGAATTTAACAACCATTTCTGCAAATGAAATTTGATCTCGAATATGTCTGTTAACTCTTTAATGTACTCTGGTTTATGAAGCTTCTGGGTTTTGCACAAGTTAGGTTTGTTTTGTTTTGTTTTGTTTTGTTTTTGCCTCACAGTTTGCTGTTTGTCTCCAAGTTCTTTGAACACCACCCAATACCACAGGAGGAGGCCTCCTTAGCAGAAACTGCCGCATCTGGATCATCCCCTTCTGAACCCCCATCCAATTCAATTGGGTATGATTTGACTCCTGCTGTTCAGTGACATGCTATTTGAGCTATTTTCTTTCGGATCTTTTATTTAATTAAAAACCGTTCCAACATTTGGATTGTTACATTACATTAAGTAAGGTCATCTTTTCAGATAACTTGTTTTATCACACCAGCCAGAAGTTTACATGCATTTGGTACAGATACATGGGATTAAAACTGACGTGAACTGTTTGAGGATGTGTCTTGAAAAAAATTAAGCAGCAGCTAACTTAGAACCCCTTGCCTTGTGCTCATCATCATTAGGTAATATTAAATTTCAGAAGTATGTGATATCCATTTAGAAAAAGTAGCATTACGAGATAATGGCAAACAATTAAAAATAGTATATAATCATATTCTATAATTTATGTCATAGATTTTAGACTACTTGATAAGTACGTCAATAGTATCATGTTTACAGAAGGGAGAATAGTGAGAAAAGTAGGCAAGAACATTTAATGAAGAAAATGAAATTTCAACTGGGCCTCTAAGAATTCTAGAATCTGAGTGAGCCTAGGGAATACAAACATGTAATAGTTGGGAGTGGGGAAAAATAGCATAAATACAGGGAATGGGGATGGTAAATTTAGGAGATAGCGAAAAGAGGCCAGCCCAAAATGAGAAATATCATGTGTAAGAACAGATTATGAAGAGTCTTGGAATTCAGGCTGGAATTTAGACTTGTCACAAGAGGAGAAAGAATAATTAAAGATTTTCAAGCAGCGGACTGACTTGATGAAAATGGTTTTAAAGAAAAGTAGTTTGCAGTGGTATACAGATAGATTGGTAGCAAAGTGTCTAGGGTGAAGAAGGCCAACTAGGATGCTATTGGTAGAGAAGACATTGAGAGTTGTTGAAGACTTAAACTGGAGTGGTAGTGTGGAGAAGGAATAGACATTCATGAGCTGTAAAATGAAACAAATAATAGGATTAATAATTAGTTGTGGAGGATAAAGGAAAGAACTGACTTTTAAGATGATACAAAGGCATCATATATTCAAGCCTCATAGTAGAGAAGGAAAAGCGATTTTGTTGAGTTCATAGCAGACAGTAGTTTGCTTGGAGCATTCCTTAAACAGGTCTGCTTACTCTGTCCACATTCGATTTGAGGCAGCATAAATCATGTTGTATCTGGAATCATATAGTTTTTAAAAAGTCCCCACATGACATTCTATTCTAGAAGTCTAGAATATTCCAGAGTCAGACAGTTAAGATCAGAACTACCTGTTGCCTACCACTCATCACAGTGCATGCATGCAGTTTCTTCTACTTAGAGAAAAAAAAATAAGATGTCACTCCCAATTGTTCTGTAATTTTAGAAGCCAACCTTACTAGGGGTCTCATAGGCTTGAAAATGTAGCAAAAAACTTTTGTATTAAGGAGTGGGTGTATGTTATCTATTTTGGAACACAGGGAAATGTAACCACTTTGTTCTTCTGTCAGGTTGTAACAGTTATCCACTCTGGTAGAGTAATTTTATTCCTGCTATCTCTATTTTTAGTGTACACACCTGTGTATTTCTTAAAATATCAAATCAGTGGTATTATTGTCTGTTTTGATTTTTAATTAATCCTTTGGTTATGACATTTACTCTTGACAGGTTCTATAGACCGTGATGCCTTTCTCATGGCAGGTCCCAGTACTGTGAGCAGAGTTACAGAACACCATAATGAAATTAGCTTGGCCTCTAAGAAGGTTTACAGTGGTAATGATCCAGGACATTTGCCTTCCGGGGAAGGAATGCTATCTTAAAATGAAGAAAACATTTGCCTATGCCATGAGTGTTTTGTTCATAACTAAACTGAAATACATTCTGATCTTGAGCAAATAATAGGAAGGATGTTCAAACTTCTGTTTTCCTGATGCTTTCACAAGTGTATATGGCACCTATGAAAAAATTTAGGTGCCTCTTCTCTACTGATATTTGTTTGCATTTTGTTAATAGTCCTGATAACAATTATAATGGTCATGAAATATATATAATAATGGGTGTAACCAAGACACATTGGAGAAGTGATACATTGCCCTGTTTTGAATAAAAAGTTAGAAGTATCTCCTTTTCTACTTTTTTAAAAACACTATGGAATGTGAAAAGTCAACATTTTAAAATTCGTATTATTGCTGAACCAAAGTAGCCACTTTGCTTCAGAACTTTTAATATTCTAGATTAAAAATGAGATCTGAACTGGTAATTTGCTGACGTATGTTAGAAGTGAAATTATCTTTATTTTTAATTTGGTACTGCTTCAGAGATGTTTGCAGCAGGGTAGGTCATGGATCATCAGGAGGCGGCCTTTGCTGACTGCCAGCAAACTTAACAGGGTATAAATTGCTTTGGTCCAGGTAAAGACATCCCAGTATGGAAACTCAATTTTATCAATTCCCAGAAATGAAGAAAGTTAGGTATATACTGGTTTACATTAACTAAAATTTAGAAAGACTGAATTAGAATGCCAGGTAATTGATTTCTGTGAGAAATATGCCTGTTATATAGATCAAAGTTGTTGTGTTGGATGGACCAGCACTCAGTCACTCTGCTTTTGGAAGATATTTATGAGAAACCAAATTATAATCCAGAGATTATTTTTATTAAACATGAAATTAGAACATGGTTCAGATGTTTACTGAGCAGTATAGTAATTTAAATATTCTCTATAGTTATAACTTACTGGCCTTCAAGGCTAGATAAATTGGCTTTGTAGACCAACACATGGTTTTGGCTGGGCAGTGTTAGCATGATACCAGCTGCCATTAAATTCGTCTTTCTCATTCTGTGTAATAAGCAGGTAGCCACATTTTCTAGTATAGCCATTCATTTCTTTAGATATGATTAAATTTGTCAGATTAAATCCAAGGTTTTTTTCCTACTTCTGGGCCATTGTCCCAGGATACATACTTCTGATTTGTTATGTACTACATGTTGCTGTCATAGTCTTAATTCAGTAAATTTCAAGAGTCACTTACTGTCTCATATGCATACATCAGGTCACTTCTATTAAGTAGACTACCCTATATAGTTGTAGCTAATTCAGGTTTGCTCCACTTTTAAAGCCTATCTTAAAGTATGCTATTGCGTTAAGACTTTAAATCAACCTATAAATAGTTCTTAAAAAGTCAGTGCACTTTCCGTAACTTTAAAAAAAAACTAGTATCATCATTTTTACATTCTTTCACCTGCTCCCAAAACCCCTTAGCAAAAGCATATATTTGCTGCCTAAAGCAAAAATAAAGGATAGCTCTGCCACAATTTTAAAATTTCTCAGTAATTAGAAAAAAATGGACCAGTGATCCATGCTAATTTTCCTAAAGGTCAGTTCTAGTAGTCTTACCTGTAACTTTCATTGGGTTGATACCAGTTTTTTAAAGTACATAGTATTTTATTTTTATTTCAATTCTAAGTGGATTCATTTAGTTAATATGAATAAAGTCAAATTTTCTTTCCCTACATTTTTTAGTGTGCTTCAAAGAAAACTATAAGCTAGTATAGTTCAAATTCTAGTCTGAAGAGACGCTGTTAGCACTGAGTCATTCATTCGTCCTGATGGAGCTCACTAACACAGCCACACCTCATCTGTCAAGTGATACTCATCTCCCAGCTCCCTTGGATATCCTTTCTGAGGGGCATAGATTCCTCACAGGTGTTTACAGTCTACCCTCAAAACTTTAGCATGTTCTCTGAGTGCCACGTTCATCTTGGGGGCAGTGAGAGATTATAGACCTTGTTACCTGTAGTACCGAAATAGGTCACTGTCACCTGTTCTTTATTTCATCAAAAAACTATTTAAAAATATATTTCCTTTAATGCTTAATATGATTATCTTCTGTCTCTTATGTCACTTATTGAGCATGGTAAAATTTTAAAATATGAGAGATTGACACAATAAGGATCATCTTTTTAATTTTGAAATGATCTTTTGCTATTGTTCAGGATTTCAGTCAGCTCCTTTGTAAAGCAGCAGGTATATCTTTCAGGCCCTGAAATATGCATGTGTATTCTCAAAGTATCCTAATACTTTCCATAAAAATTACATCTTAGTAACTTCAGCTACCAAAAAATAGCAAAGGCAGAAAAAAATGGTAACTATTATTCCATCAGTTTCTACCTAAAGCATTTTTGTGTGACTTTGAAGGACAGAGATTCTTCACATGATTAACCATAGGTAATTTCCAGTCATTCATAGATTTCCTTGGAATTTTCTGGATAAGAATCAGTGTTCTTATCATTGATAGTTTCTGGATGGTCTGCTTGAGCAAAGCACTTTGTCAGTATTAGTTGTAGGCATATATTTTTTAAACTGATCCTATAAAAAGCCGTTGCTGCTCTGTTTTTTTTTTTTATTAAGGTATCATAGATTTACAATCTTATGCTCAGGTTTCACATGAGTGACATTGTGGTTACTGCATTCCCCCCTATTATCAAGTCTCCATACTGCTGGGTTTCTAATGCTTTGTTTTAAAGATTTTTATTTAGAATATAAAATCAAAGAAATCTTTATCCATTTTTGAATATTATCTCTATAAAGTTGCTCTGAATCTTAACCTTCCAATGACTTGATTTTTCAGGCCCCAAATTCTCACCAGTCCATCTCCTTCAAAATCCATTCCAATTCCGCAGCCTTTCCGACCAGCAGAGGAAGATCATCGAAATCAGTTTGGACAACGAGACCGGTCCTCCTCAGCTCCAAATGTGCATATAAACACAATAGAACCTGTCAATATTGATGTAAGTATCCAGCAATGTTAGAAATAAAAAATTTAAGTGCGTTTCATTATTTTTCTGTTACATTTCTAATATAGATCAGAAATAGGTGCTATCTTTCATATATTGCAGTTATTGCAAGTGACACTTTTCATGAATTATACATCAGAAAAGCCTTGTCATTTTCTCTGATGGCATTAAATATTTAACTGGTACCAAATTTTAGAGCTATTCTGATTTTTCCTTTAATCACACCATCCCTGGTAAAGCCTTATCTTTGTTTATTTAACAGATAATCTACTTGGCCATTTTATGCTAAAAAAAAAAGAATACAATTGCAGATTTCCTATTTAGATCAATTTAAAACCTTTACCTAAATTTCTAAAAGTATAATTTCAAATTAAATATCCCTTAAGGATTAATCATTACTGTATGTACTTGACATGCAAAGATGTCTTTTACCTTCTTACTCTTTTGAGTATACCATTGTATCCCATCTCTATATACATCCTGAATTATGGCATATTCTTTTTAGGTAAGGTTGTTACTAAGTTTTACTCATTTTTAAAAATGCATCTTCTCTGATCTCATCATCATACATTGTAATCTCACTTCAATTATTTAGCCACCTTCTGGATGGTCACTCTTGATGTTTTTACTTTTCCAGTTTATCTTGCATACTGTAACTTGATTATGTACATTAGTGTTTCTTCAATTGAATCTTCACTTCTGGAAAGCAGAAACTATTGTTCCCTTGGCATGTATCTTAGAACTAAACACATAATACGTCATCAAAAAATATTTTTCAGCAAAAGACTTAGAAGATAAAGCAAAGGAAATCTCCCATAATACAGACCAGGAATCAACAAACTTTTTTTGAAGGACCAGATAGTAAATATTTTAGGCTGGTGAGTCATAGGATCTCTGATGACAGCTATTGAGCTTTGTCATTATAGTATGAAAGCAGACATAATAATACAGTATAAACAAATGGATGTGGCTTTATTTAGTAAAACTTTATTTACAAAGTAATCATTAACTGAGTTATAGAAGAGAATGAATGAATGCAGTGTTCTTGCTCTCTGTGGTAGACTAAGGATTCTGATGTGGCTTCATTTAGTAAAACTTTATTTACAAAGTAATGTGTTAACTGAGGTACAGAAGAGAATGAATGAATAAAGTGTTCGTGCTCTTTGTGGTAGACTGAGAATTCTGATCTTGGAATTAGGAGTCATTTCTCCCATAACTTGCGCTTTAGTATAGAGTGTAGGTTGTCCTTAATCTCTGTCTATAATCAGCAACAAAACTGAAAAAGTCTACCAAACCACGTTTGTCTTGGAAAGTAATTATTTTTAAAAAGGAAATTAAAACTTTCCCAGTGTAAACAGGGTCCTGGAGTTAGTGAGGCTATTATGTGTGTGTTGGAGTACAGGGCTGTTCTCATTATACAGGTACTCCTTATGCGAGTCCTTATAGCTGTAACATCGAGTAGAGAAGATCACAGCTGATAAAATGATTGAAAGGGAGTAAAACTTGGCCTGCCTTTCTTACAGTTAACCACTATTCTATATAGTATTAGAAGAGAAGTAAAAGAGAGAAGCGGTAGAAGATAATGTCCTGATTTCCAGCTTGGGTGAATAGATAACTAGATAATAAATAGATAAATAGATAATTCATTCCATTCAGTAGGATAGTAAATACCAGAGGAAAAAGAGCAGGCTTTGTAGAAATGAGAATGATTAATTTTTATTTTGGACATACTGATTTTAAGATGTCTGTGGGCCTTTACTGGTTTAGAAGTCCAGTAACAATTGAATATAAGGAGCTTGAGTAGAGATACAGATTTAGGAGTATTTAGCGTACTTGTCTTAGTTAAAGCCATGGATGTAAATGATACTACTCAAACAGTGTATATAATTTGGAAAGGGGGTAGAAAATGCAGCCACCAGTTAACATTTAATATTTGAGGTACAGGTTGTCTCCTCTATATACTCTTCTTCTTAAGTCTAGATTCAGATTAGAGAAAGTGGTATTGCAAAAGCTAAAGGGAGAAAAGGGATTTTAAGAATTTTGAAGTAGTTGATGTCAGTTGCCGTTGTAACTCAAAATGAGATACGAACTGAAAATGACTGTCAAATTGGGCAATTGAAATACCATTTTGACTGTATTGAGAGCTGTTTTGGAAGGCTAGTGGAGGAGAGCAAGGTAGGTGAAGATGCAGGATTAACTGTCAGTTTTGAGAAGCTTGGCTGAAAAGGAAGGGGTCATAGACTGAAGCAAGGTTGAGGGAACGTGGTTGAGGTTGATTTTATTATAAGTTGACTTCAGCATATTTGTAGCTTGAGGGAAGAAGCCAAGTGAAGAGAGACATTGAAAATAACAAGAGAAGGAATGATTGATGTAATAAAATTCCTTTAACTTGGAAACTGTTCCTCAGAAGATATGAGGAATTAAAGGTGGACATATCTGGTTATGAGCTCTTTACATACAGTGTGACCTTGGACAGATGACTCACCCTTGAGGCTAATAGTGTCTACTTCTTGTAGTGGTTTGAAAATGCTTATTATGCCTGGCATATAATAAGTAAAAAGTTATAGCTAGTATTACCATGCAAGTGTTTGTAGATGTATGGGTAGAACAAAATGTTCTTTGATGGTTTGTGTTTTCTCTGTCATACTAGAGGGAAGAGATATAAGTAAAAAAGAAACTATAGGAGATTGGGAAATAGTTTTAAATAGCCAGTATCAGAATGCTAGAAGATCCTATTTAACCTAAACAAGAAGTAGAAAAGAATGTCAGTGAGCTTTAAGAACATATTTAAGATTGAAAAATACATGTTTATGGTGATATTCGCAGTAGGTTGTAAGAGTGGAGAAAGCCAAATTTGGCTGATGCATGATTGTGTGGAGGTAGCAGGGCTGGTGCACATAGAGGAAAGGGGATATGGCATTTATGCCTTTGCCTTGTGGTTCTTTGTCTAGAAGGCTCTCTGCTTTTCAGTTCTACATTCCTGTCAATCCCTGAAACTTCCAACTCATAACCCATCTTTTTAAATGCTTCACCAGTGACTAAGTCCTGTAGTTATTTATCCTTTGAACTTCTGTAGCACCAAGAATTTATTCTTAACCCCCACTATTTATTTGGCAATTAGCTAAGCAACTTTGGCACCTCTTTTATTGTTTTCTAAAGCTGTTGTTGTTATGTCATTTAATTACCATGTATGTACATCTTTCTTCTACTTAGATTATATGCTCCCAAGAACACAGAAAGTTAGTGAGACCACCAGGATTTTATATTTATTGGTAGCTACACAATCCCTACCACTTAGCACCTTGTTTGCAGGTATATGAGTGTTGATTATTCTGTAGAAAATGTTAGAGGCTTTATATTACATTGAACATGGTAGACATATCTCTCTAAAGAATTTACTCTTTGTTTTATCCTATAAACAAAAAAGGTGCCTATTTGCCAGAAGCCTTTGAGACTATTTAGAGACATTTGGGGCCATTCAACCCTCATATTTAAGTTACACTGGGTAAATAACTAATCTAAATTCTGCCTACCAAGATCTAAATTATATTGTGTTGCCAGTAGACTCTTCCCTCTCCCTCCCCCCAACATTGTCTGTTGTAAAAAGCTGTATTTTAATAATAAAGACAAATTTTAACAAAACCCTTGTTTGAGCTTTTTTGATCTTTTCCCTTCTAATCTGTCTACCCATCCATATTTTTATGATTGTAATCAGTTTACATTTAATTTTGTATTGTTTTTTAATTATAAACATGTTTTATGATAAAAGTTTTATTACTGTTTTAGTAGCTGCATAATATTTTTTAAATTCATACACCATAATTTACTTAACCAATGTGTCAATATGCCTATAACAGGGAAATAATTATTTCTGATTTTTTAGTATGATAGATAATGTTGCACTAATCATCTTTGTGCATATCATTTTTTCTTCTGAATTATTTCCTTAGGAAAAATTCCCAGAAATGGAATTACAGGATCAAAGGGTATGAACATTTTATGGCTCTTAATATGTGCCAGTAGATTTTTTTTTTTTAATTGATGCAGCCATTGGTTTTGAATGGCCTGAAATGGATTTCAACATTTGATAAGCTCTAATAATCCCTTCAGTATAGGGCTAGGTTGGCAAGTGCTTCAAAGTTTTGGTTTTATCATGTTCATTAGCTAATTCCATATTCTTTCTGTTTTATGAAGTAATTGTAAGACAAGCATTATTTTTCAATTAATGTTTCTGTTAATGCTTAGTGGAAAATTCAGTGTTGTTCTTACTTTCTTACCATATGCTTTGAATAAATATACATTACTGTTTATTTGTAGGACTTGATTAGAGACCAAGGGTTTCGTAGTGATGGAGGTAAGTAGTGATTTCAGTTAAAGAGAAAAAAACTCGGGAAATGCAATTGCTTTGCCGCTTGTCTTCTTTATATTTGCTTTTTTCATGAAACACAGACACAGAGAAAAATGTTCAGAGAAAACCCCCAAATTTTTTTTCTCTAATGTTTATCATTTATCTCTAATAAAATTTTAACTGATTTACAGCAAGAGTAGAGAAAAAGAGAGGACATAAAATGGGTCTTAAATGTACTTACTATCTACAATTTAAAAATTTTGTTATTATAGAGAGATCCTTAATTGTTTTACCTGTTTTACTAATTTCTAGCTAGTGCTGGAGATGACACTAATTTTGGGAGCCTTCACTAGTAATTAAAGATTGAACTCAGAATCAGTTAAAACTTGACTTTCCTAAATTGTTCTTGGGGAGAGTCCCTTAGATTGCCTGTCACAACTGATTGTTAGACATTGTTAGCCACTTGCCTTCAGCTTTCTAGAAAGGTTTTTGAATGTACATTTTATAAATGAACCCCTCATAGAAGAGCCTAGTTGCTCTCATTAGCCCAGTAAATCAAATAAGCAAATGAGAAATTGAACTAAGATTTCTTACAGAATTTTCATCTGATAATCACTCTAGCACCCAGTGATTACTGGGACATAAGAAAAACATTGCTTAAGAAAATATGACTTCAATAAGATTATATCATATAATGCTTTCCAGGAAATGGTATTTGAAACTATCTAGAGGTTTCTTCCCGGTGGTCCTCTGCCTACGTCTTTCGCTGTCTTCTAGCTAATAAGGAAGACGTGCAATGTCTGCATATCTTGCTTAGAGTTGGTCTCTTCACTGTGACCTGCTTTATCTTGATATCCAAGCCCAGACTCAATTTACACTGAATAAACATTGTATGAGCCATCTTTTGTTATGTTTCTATATATATGTGGAGCTACCAAAATGATAACCCTGCATTATATACTCTGAACTTAGTATTTACTATAGCACATGGTTATAAAAGTTTTTTTCTTGTTTGTTATTCCATGAACCCACCAATTAATGTTGCTGCCAGTTTGACTTTCATATGTCTTAATAGCTGTGGCTTTTGATAATTTTGCCCAATACATCCAGCATTTAAATGTTGCCATCATGTTAGCATCACAAAGTTAACTTGGTCACAAAAGATGCCTGCTTAGTACTGAAAATCAAATGACATTTCTTGTCCTTTTTCATGAGTCACTTTTTAAAAAGTCATTGGGATTTTATGGAAATAAGCAGGTTTTTTAAACATCCAGAATTATTTTGTGAAGCAGGCTTCAGCTCCTCTTGTTTATTCCCCGTGACTTCTTTCATTTCTTCTGTGTGTCTGTCTTCCTGTGTTTGCCTGCCCCTCTCTTTCTCTTCTAACAGCCCCTTTGAACCAGCTGATGCGCTGTCTTCGGAAATACCAATCCCGGACTCCCAGTCCCCTCCTACATTCTGTCCCCAGTGAAATAGTGTTTGATTTTGAGCCTGGCCCAGTGTTCAGAGGTAGTTGGGCTCTTCTTTCTTGTTTTCACCCAAAGCAAACTAGATATAAGCTACAGATACTGTTTGTGCCTCACCCTCACAGCGTGTGTTTGTAAGTGTGAAAGTTTTCAGTACTAAATTTCTGCTTGGCCTGGCTGGAATGCTCTGAATGTGCTGCTCACACATACTCAATACCACAAGCTTTCTGTATGCTGTCATAAATTTTTAAATGCAAGAAAAGTCTGAGCTGAGATTCCCATCTTGTTTTTTGTTATATTATTTACTTTTTCATCTTGATAGCTTCTTAAACTCAGTGGGTGGCAATAAATAATGTGGGGAGATGTCCATCAATCTGAATTCCTTCTGTTTTAATCTATTTGGGTGATAACTTTGATAATAATTAATATTTGTTAACATTTTTGTGGGGTTTTTTTTAGTAGAAATGAAAATTCTTATTAGTTATTACTAGACTTTTGGTTTAATTTTCCTATAATAGCAGCAGTGTTCTTGTTTTAAAATGTAGGACATGTATATTGTACATTATATCAAAGGTAGGGAGTTTTAAAAAAGATGTGTAGTGTATTTGGGGAATTTAGTGTACATCAGAAAATTTGGGAAGGATACTTTCAGTTATGCCATAATGTTAGGAAAAGTTAGCAGTGTAATTTCACTCTTCCATTTCATCTTGCCATACTTTAATTAGTAAATTCATTTTAAACATTTTAAACTGATTTTTAAAAATTTAACTCAAAATTCAGACTGGTGTCTTGTATAAATATTTTCATAGAGTTGTTATTTACTCTCTTTTGCTAGTTAGTGTCTGTTATTTCTTCTGAGTGCAGTGATGGTGGTTCAGATTTTTGTTCTCTCAGCCCAGCTATTTCTCAGAAAATGTAGTGAATGAGTTGGAAGTCATAATAGTGAGTAGTGTAGTTAAAATAAGTAGTACAATATAGTACTGAGTAGACCAGAATTGTGAAGGCTGTGCCAGCAGCAGTAAGGCTTTATAGTGTTGAACATTAACAGTGGAAGATAGAAAATGAGTTGTACTTTAGTTAATCATTCCAGATACCATTTTCTTTTAGAAAATTGCATATGAGATCATGGAAATCCCACATGATGACATGTGTAATGTAGTAATGATAAGATTGTACACATTTAAATGTTGCCATTGGTATCATTGTTCTTTGAAACATACTGATTCTTCCCCCACCCCCTCACAGTAATCTTTTTAAACAAATTATCTTGAAATCTTTTTGTTCTGTATATACAAATATTTCTTGACATCTCAGTTCTACTTATCTAAACTCCACTAGGAGTCAGTGCCCTGAACCCTCTCATCCATATCTTACTTATATGAACTTTGGATTTTTGCTCACTCAGCATTTGGAAAAGTACCCCTGAAAAAGACATGTGACGCTGCCGACCAAGTCCACTTTCAAAGACTACCCCTTGGGCTCACTTGGTTGGTAGACTATTTCCATTTGTAGTAACTTGGCTGAGAGGCCAGAGCACTTAGCTGTACTGTCTTCTTACAAAGGTAGAGATTTTTCAGGGAGTCTTGAGAAACTTGCTTGGTTTTTTACATTAATTCTGTTATGCAAGTAACAGTCATCATTTAGTAGAATAAGCCTCCGCTAACCAATGGAGCTGACCAGTATCTTTCACTCTTAAATAGTACAGTATGTAGATAGGATTTTTAAAAATTTAGTAGCTAATATGAAACAGCCAGATATTTTGAACATTAAGGCTGTTATTAGAATATGTTTCCATTTGGGGGTTTCCATCTTTTTATATATTGATTGGCTACTGAGGTAGCAAAATAACTAAAAGTGTATTTTTATATAGGCTTTTCAACTGCTTTTGTTTTTGTGTTTTAATCAAAGAAACAAACCTGGGGGTATTTTTTAGTATTTATCTCTTGTTTCAGAGAAATTGTTTTTTTCTGCTAGATTATGCCCCAATAAGCAAAGTGTATCTGTAATCATTATGTTTTGAAGTTCATTAAATATGCCAGAAAACTAAAACTATAGTGCTAATCACCAGTGAGGCCCCTTTTTGGCCTATCATTTCCGAAAGGTGTACATTTGATCATACACTGTGTTTTTTAAATAAGTCTAAATCTTCCCCTACCCTCTACCCCCGAAATTAACATACTTAATCCTCCTTTCATAGATACATTTTTCCTTTCACTAACTTAGGATCCACCACAGGTTTGTCTGCCACCCCCCCTGCCTCATTACCTGGCTCACTCACTAATGTGAAAGCGTTACAGAAATCTCCAGGACCTCAGCGGGAAAGGAAATCATCTTCATCCTCAGAAGACAGGAATCGAATGGTGAGAGCATATGATATCTTTTTAACTCTTTCTTTTTAGAAGTTACAGCCAAATGTAATGTGACCTTTTAGGTATAGGATATATGGGGACATACAATATGTTCAGGTGTGACACAATTCCCATAATCAAGTAAATGTAAGAGCTGATAGTTTTTTACTTAAAGCATATTCCCACAATACTGGTTTTGGCTCTCAACTCTAAAATAATTGAGTGAAAGGGAGTTCTGGAAGAGTAAGAATAGTGTTCTGTTTCTAAAATAAGGAGAGAGTAAGCCAGTATTTAGAAAGCATAATTAGGCATATATTTTCTCAAGAGCTGGCCTGAAATTCAAATGCCTATCAAGTGACATTCTTCCCTATTTGAAAAATTAACTTTCTGCTACAAATAAAACTACACTAAAAACTAATAATTTAGCAGTAGTGTATTGATAGTATATGTTGAATAAGTGAATTCTTTACCCTACCAAAGTGATTGTATATGTTGATAATTTTTTTTGAGAGACTGGGTCAAATAAGACGTGAGGAAATTTAGCACTGACTTCAGGAGAGTAATCAGATTAGTTAGCAACCGTTACCATATTACTTAAATCTGTGGCCTTTGAAGCTGAATCTAGTGACAAGGTGTAGTACATACCTTGCCCCCTAAGAATCCTGCAAGTGATAGTACACTATTTTACTTTATTGATTTTAACAATATGCATTTCTGCTCATATGCAGTATTTATTTTTTAATAAATTGTGTCCATCTTAATACTGACTTAGGTCATAAATTCTGTATTGAAAGAATCATAGGTCTAACTATTACTGAATGCATCCAGAATATGGTGTATCTGTTGTTTTGATTTTTTTAAAAAAGATCTTATTCTCTTCCTCGTGTAAGTCTCTTCCTATTATATGTCCCTTCCTAATGTACTTAGTGTGAAACATTAAGAGTTTTCCTTTTTTGTTTGCTTTGGCTTGACTTTTGTACTGTTTTTATCAAGAAAACACTTGGTAGACGAGATTCAAGTGACGATTGGGAGATTCCTGATGGGCAGATCACAGTGGGACAAAGAATTGGATCTGGGTCATTTGGGACGGTCTACAAGGGAAAGTGGCACGGTATGTATGTGATATGGTGAGCTTCTTAAAAATTGTAATAATAGCATATGTTTTAACAACTTTTGTCCAAAAAAAAAATCGAAGGGAATATTTACAATTTGCATCATTAAGCTGTTTGATCAGGTTGAAGAATCTTCCAAAGGCTTCTAACTGGATTCAGAGAAACGAGGACCCCTGTCATTATATTATTGTAATAATTTTTAAAGACTATTCTCCAAGTAAGTTAGCCCCCAAAATATTTTGTTCTTTTAGATTTAGAGCTCTTTCTGCTAATAATTGTATTTGTATTATAAGCCACAAGTAAACATACTAAAAATGCACTTACCAATGGAAGAAATAGCCAGTAATCATAGAAAAAATGTTGAGTCTCACTGAATTGAATTGCAAATTTAAAAAATAGAAATCACTTGCCTCTCAAATGAACAAAGGTTTTTTTCAAATTGGTCATGCTTAGAGTTGTGATTGTCATGCTGCAGTGGGAAAATACAAATTGCTACAAATTTCTGGAGGGCAATTTGGCATCCATTTGTAGAACTTCATAATGAGGAAGTAATTGCATAGGAACAAACAGATGTATGTGCAACCATGTTCATTAGAGATTTAGTATTAATAAAATGGAAATTTCATAAGTGCCCATTAATAGAGGATTGGATAAATAAGTTGATAGCCTCCATATATGATTATATAGAAATTAAAATGGTAAGGTAGGTCTGTATTTGTTGATATGGATAGGTATCCATGGTATATTAAATCTACAAAGCAGCATATATAATCTTCCATATTATGGTGCTACATAAAAATATATGTTAACAGTTTTTTAAATGACTGTCATTATTTTAGTATGTTATCTTTTCATATGTACTTGTTAGGTCATCTTTTCATATGTACTCATAAATATTCATACTGCATACATATAGTATGTATTCATACATATAAGTATTTGTTTCTGAGTGACTTGACTATAGGAGATTTTTATTCGTTCCTTGTTTTCAAAATGTTTAATTTTTTATAGTGAGCATTGTATTATTTTGATAATCAGGAAAAATCCTAAGTTTAATTACATTGAAGTGTAATATACATGCAAAAAAGTGCATGTAGATGTTCAAGTAGCTGAAGTCTTCACAAAGTGAAAACTGTGTTCAATAAACAGACTATTACCAGCACTCTAGAGATCTTCCCCTTGTTCCCCTCCCCCAAGGGTAACCACTCTCTTGACTTGAATAAAAATCATATAGTATGCACACTTGTGTCTGGCCCCTTTCACTCAACGTTGTTCCTAAGATTCATTATTATTGTGTGTAGTTAGTTGTAGGTCATTCTCTGTAATGTTCATTATGTGGCTATAACATACATAATTTCTATCGTTTGATGAGCATTTGAGTAGTTCCCAGTTTGGGGCTATTACAAATCCTGCTGCTATACTTATTTTTAGTATTGTTTGGTGAACATATGTGTCCATTTTTGCTGGGTGTTCCTCCCCTAGGAAAGAACTATGGGGCCACTGGACACACATATGTTCAGTTTTAGTAGATACTGCTGAAAGGGTTTCAAGTAATATATCAACTTACACACCATTGGCAATGTATGAGACTTCTACCTGTTTCACATTGTTTTTTTTTTTAATTACAATTTTAATAATTTTTCTAAGCAGAAGCAACAAGCGGTCCCGTTTTGAAAAAATGTTAACTACTCTAATGAAGTTTTGAAATTTGCTGTTTTAGTCAAACTCCATTGGGCATGTCATCTGTAGTTTTAACATTCAGTTTGTAAGTGCATCTATTTAATATTGTTAACTAACCAGGAAAATACCATGGATACTTAATTGGTTAAACTAAACCTCTAGGGGAAAGAAAAACAAGGTTGACTTTCTTTCCCATATATATTATATATATATATGTATGTATTTTTTTATTGTATTTTGAAATACTAGTATAGTATTACCATTGTTAGCTTAGTTTTAATTCTTAGAAATTAATGAAGTTTAGGAAGATTAGGTATAATTCATTTGCCGTTTGATAATGGTATGGATTTAAAGCTGTGGTAATTAGTGAAAATACTTGACTTTTTAGTATTTTTTTTAAATTTGAATGACAATTACCTTTTAGGTGATGTGGCAGTAAAAATGTTGAATGTGACAGCACCAACACCTCAGCAGTTACAGGCCTTCAAAAATGAAGTTGGAGTACTCAGGTGAGCAGCTTATGAGCCACTGTTAGCTTTACACATGCACTAAAAATGGATAACATAGTTTGGGTATTTTTGTCTATAACTATATTCTTTCAAGTGATACACACAATGTGATTTGGTACAGCTGATAGAAAAGTTAATCCTAGTGAGAGTTTATGGAAATAAAGTATTCTGATAATGAGAAATAATATCTCCGCTTTGGGAAATAATACTCTTGAAAGTACTCTAAGCTGATCAGGACACATTTAGAAATCATATCAAGCCCTGGAATTTGAGGAACATAACAAATTAGAGTATGTCTTGTCAAGGAGAACTTAGATGAAGAAGATTCTAGGACTGTAATTTAAGGAGAAATAGTCAACAGAACTAAGGATATTTGGGTCCAGAGAAGGCTGTCTTGTTCAAGAGGGTACAAACTTGCTCTGTTTTATTCCAGAAAGCAGAACGGGGAAGCCAGTGGTGGAAATTAAAGGAAAATGATTTTTTTCTTAACCCCCAAAAAATCTCTAATACTAGAACCACTGAAAAAAAAACAGAAAAGCAGAGAAACTAGGCTATAGTCTCAGTGCTAAGCTTCCAGAATTGAAGGTACATAAGCAATGTTTAGTTGCCTATGAGGTATATTTAAAAAGATATTTCTGAAAAGGGTGTGATGTTAGACTAAGTTCTAAAGTCTCTTCTAAATTTATCCTATTCCCTTTTTTTGAAATACCTTTTTCTGACATCTTACTGATAAACAGACTGCTTTGGCCCTCTTTTTTAAGATTTACTTTAAATTTATTGGTATTTACTGTATATATATATATGTGTGTGTGTATATATATATACACACACATATATATATATACTGTCACATTTCTTTTTCAGGAAAACTCGACATGTGAATATCCTACTCTTCATGGGCTATTCAACAAAGCCACAGCTGGCTATTGTTACCCAGTGGTGTGAAGGCTCCAGCTTATATCACCATCTTCACATCATTGAGACCAAATTTGAGATGATCAAACTTATAGACATTGCAAGGCAGACTGCACAGGGCATGGAGTAAGTTCCATTCTGTTAAATCTTTTGTAAATTACTTTTGAAGATCATTGAGAGTATTTTAAAGGTTTTAACTCATATTCTTTTGGATTGCTTTCTAAATTACTGTCCAGCAACATATAAACACTTTTAACTAATATCGATGTAATATGAAGAAATAAAATAGTCTCTCTCCAGTAGTCTTTAAAACATATATCAAGTATTTGATAATAAATATGTGATATGTCTAGCATGCACTGATTTAACTAAGCAATAAAGGTTCAAAAACAAAACAGAAATAGGGGAAAAAAAGCCCCCTCTAAAAAGTCATTAACAGTTATTGAAGTATATAAAATAGTTATCTTTTCAAATTATTTTTCCATGTTCCATATTTTCTATTGCAAAATGCCATCTGCACAAAATAAAATAACAAAATATAATGAAAGTCTGCATTCTAATCCTTTTTGAGGATTTCAGATTTTGTTCGTATCCACTAATTTTGCTATTTAAAGTAATTTAAAAATAGAAAATTACTTTATAAGTTTATCCAAGGCCACAATGGGTAGCTAACTAGGAGGGATAAATTTGCATGCAACTCCTAAGTACAAATGAATAGATAAAGTCAAAAGATAAAATTAAATTTTGAAAGCACTTAGATGAAAAATTTTCCATGAGTAAAAATAAGAGTTTAACAGTACTTTAAAAATATGTGTGTATCTTAATTCAACATTTTATAGTATATAAGGATAGTTGTCCCATGTGTAGGTCATTATGTCATTTAATTTTTGTAATCTGAAGTAGATATTTTTATTTTCTTTTTACAGATAAGGAAACTGAGGCTTTTAAATGACTCATCTAAGGTTACACATTTAATAAGTGGCAGCAGAGGTGTTAAGCAAGATTCTGACTTCCAAGCTGTTATTCTTTCCCTGATAACCCACTATGCTACTTTTTCATTATAAAACTAGAATAAAAGGGTAAAAGGGTATATATGTTCTAACACCTAGAACTTTAACTGAAGATCACATGTAGCCACTAAGCATAGAACCAGGACTCAAAACCAGATCTGGTTCTTAAATCTTGCTACTGTGGTACCCTCTCTGACTCAAACAAAACTAGGCTCTCCATACATGTGTGTGTGTACATATATAATTATATACATATATACATAATATATATATATATATATAATTTAGATTGTTTACAAGACTGTGTTTAGCCAATATACTTATTGCAGCAAACATTCAGTAACATTCCCACTTATCCACTAGACTTAAAATACTCTCAGCCTTTTATGTAAGTTAGAATCTGAATCTGTTCAAATCTGAAAGGTTATATTAAAACCTTGTTAAAAGTAAGCCATGGCAAAAATAGTAAATGTTCATAGAGAAATAAAGCTTGTTCTGCTCCCACCCGCTGGTCTTTTTTCTGTTTCTTCAGCAGGCCAAGCGTGTTCCCTCCATAGGGCCTTTCTACTTGTTATTTTTCTCTTTGGGATATTCATTCCACAAATATTCATAGAACTTCTCCCTTTTATCTCTGTTCAAATGTTACCTTTTAAAAGAAGCCTTCTCTGATTACCTTATATAGCTAACTGTTTCTTACCCTGCCTGTCATTGTTTATATCCTATCCTTGTTTTTGTGGGGTTTTTTTTAATAACAAGTTCCATATGACATAATTTGTTTATTGTCTGTCACCCCCACTAGTCTGTAAGCTGGGTGAGATCAGTGGCTTTGGATAAAGATCATGCATACTTTATCCCTAATGCCTAGAATGGGTCCTGGCCTATTATAGGTACTCAATACATATCTGTTGAATTAAAAAAATGAAAATAAGATTACATACAACTGCTTATTATTGATATATTTGCCTTCCATCAAAGAGAGAAGCCAAGTCCTTCTTAAATCAAAATTGAGAAATATTCAAGAAAGGAAAAACAGTCAAAGAAGTAATAAAAGAATAGCAGAGGGGAAAAGAATAATATTAAAAATTGTTTTTAGAAACAGTGATGGGGCAGTGACATGCCACTATTGATTAAGACAAGATGTTGACAGTAGAGAATACCACCAGAATGGAATAGTTTGGTAGTCTGGGAATAGTCAGTAAAGAGGTAGTATTTTCCCATTGTTTTATAGTTTGGAATCTATATGTGTAAATATTTATAGTCTATTAATCTACTATGAAATGTTTGCTTACAATTTCAAGTATCTTTCACTATATAATGAGTATAGCTGGCTGTGAATATAGATCATCTCATCAGTTTAAACTAGATTTTAATAGCTGAAAAAGCTTAAATTATACATTTTAAGAGTTCTAGCAGAATATATTTTTTATTACTAGCTTAATTTAACCAAAGAAGATACAATTCCTTTTTTCCTTTTTATTCCTTTTAAGATAATAATATGCAACTGGTTAAATGTACTAACACATCTTTAATTTCTGAAAATTTTGGCAGATTGAAAATCTTATTTAAAAGGCTACATGGGTTTCAGGTTAAGGTGACAGATTTTTTTTATCTTTTGAAACTCCATTAAAACTATAATAAAGGAAGTTTTTTAAAGCATGAACATGTAAGGGTGGAGATAACAGGAAGAAAACAATAGCAACATTTTAGAAACTAGAAAGCAGATGAAGAAGTGATAATGGATTTAGTACAACATAAAAAGCTAAATCATTAGTTAAGAGTGGGGAAAATGAAATCCAACCTGATTAGTACTGCAGAATCCTCAGAACTCTCAAGAATTGGCAGTGCCAGGTGTCTCCAGAGGAAAGAGTATGTGATTGAAAAGACCTGGCCGAAAAGCTTCTCTGAATCCCTTCTATGCCACAGGTAACTATTCCTACCCTGGCAGTGGAGTGGAGGTACGTTCTTGGGAGAGGGGAAAGCAGATATCTGTGGACACAGACGTGCATACTTTACTGGAAACGGGGATTGCATGCCTGCTTCCTGAATGATGGATGGAGAGTTCCTCAACATCCTCTTTTCAGGTGTTTCTTGGAATGCTATCAACCAAACCTTACCCTTCAGGCACAGGATTGGATCTTACCAGCAAAAAGGAAAGGCCCAAAGGTAGTGACATCAGGAATTCCACCTAGATCACTGTATATGGAAACTCAAAGACAAAAAGCCCCTATCTATGCTCAAAGCATCTGGACAGTTTTGTAGTCCCTTACTTAGTTTGAGTAAGATTATCTCTGTAGAGATGGATTAAAGATGGTGGTGTGGGAGGTGAGACAGAGGCTTCCTCCTAAAACCGCATATAATATGAAAATATAATTAATATAGCTAATCCTGAAAGAGCAACAGGAAAGAGAGCTGTGCCAAACTGCATACACCTGGAGAAAAGAATAAACCTCATGGAACTGGGTAACGTACCAAAGCCGTGGTCTTGTGGGACCCCAGCCCTTCCCCCAGCCCAGCTCCCCAGCGGGAGGAAGAGAAACGGAGTGGGGAGGTTTTGGAAGCCTGGGACTGCTGAGTACCTAACTATGGAGATCTGCTCTCGGAGCACAGACCTACATTTCATGGTGCTTCGTTGGTACTCTTATGATTAGGGGGTTGGAAAGCTACGACAGACAGAATTCCTGGAGAGACTGAGATTCCAGCTGCTTGTGGAAAGCAGGGATCCAACTCTGGCTGCTCTGGGACAAAAGAAAGGCAGGCAGTCTGAGAGACTTCCTAATAGCAAGAGGGCTGCTAAAGGGGCAAGGATTGCACTGAACTTACTGCTCAGGAGAAAGGACAGGTAGACAGAATTGTCCAGGTGCACTCTGCCCAGCATATTGGGAACTTTCTCAATTTTTAGGCACTCCAGCTCCCTGTCTGGCTACACAGCTTGAAGGACCCCCTCCATGATATGCAGCCTACTGTGCCTTTCTCCCGGACAGCCCCACCTGGCACACAAACCACCAAACCCTACCCTGGTGTTAGGCCAGCCAGAGGGAAGCCCCGTCTACAGCAACTACAAACGCAAAGCACAGACTCTTATACCTGTGTGCTCAGCCCACTGGTTTTGGCAGTGGAGGCAGGCATAGCAGCCCAGAAGCAGGAAACAACTCTTTCCTCCCCCCAGGCACCATTACTGCTCCCCTGCAACCCCCGACATTGCCTCAGGGGCTGAGCAGCTAAAGAGAGTAGAGCTTCTGGGCACTAGAGGGCGCCATATACAAATATGAAATGCCAAAGAAACCTGGTTCAAAGCAAAATGATGAATACAACACCTGAGAAAGATTCAAATGAAATCGGTCTCATGAATCTTACTGAAAGGGATATCAAAATAAAAATCATTAACATGCTCATGGAGGTACAGAAAAATATTCAAGAACTCAGGAATGAATTCCAGTCAGAGATCCAAATCACTGAAGAGCACAGTGGAGGGTATCAAAAGCAGATTAGATATGGTGGAGGAGATAATAAATGAAATAGAAATTAGAGAAGAGGAATACAAAGAAGCTGAGGCATAGAGAGAAAAAAGGATCTCTAAGAATGAAAGAATATTGAGAAAACTGTGTGACCATCCAAACGGAACAATATTCTCATTATAGGAGTACCAGAAGAAGAAGAGAGATAAAAAGGGCTAAAAAGTGTCATTGAGGAGGTAATTGCTTAAAACTTCCCTAATCTGGGGAAGGAGATAGTCTCTCAGGCCATAGAGGTGCACAGATCTCCTAACACAAAGGACCCAAGGAGGACAACACCAAGACATAAACTAATTAAAATGGCAAAGATCAAGGATAAGGACAGACTATTAAAAGCAGCCAGAGAGAGAAATAAGATCACATACAAAGGAAAGCCCAACAGGCTATCATCAGACTTCTCAGCAGAAACCTTACAGGCCAGAAGGGAGTGGCATGATGTATCTGATGCAGTGAGGCAGAAGGGCCTCGAACCAAGAATACTTTATCCAGCAAGATTATCATTTAAATTTGAAGGAGGGATTAAACAATTTCCAGATAAGCAAAAGCTGAGAGAATTGACCTCCCAACAAACCATCTCTACAGTGTATTTTGGAGGGACTGCTAT